GGCGGCAGAGGCACGAGGGCCGTGGCAGCCCTGCCTCCGTCCTGCGCTACCATCTTGTCACTGCTTTGCCTCTCCATGCCCAGGCTCTCATCCCATGCCATAGCCAACCCCACACCATCTCCCAGACTTGGACCAGGCCCTGATCTTCTCTTTGTCACTGAGAGTCTCCGTGATGTGGCTCCTGTCCCAGCAGAGCCAGAGGTCTCTTGGACACTCCTGTTTGTTTCCTCTGTGGGACCCTCCTGCCAGCGCTCCCGGGGAGGTGACAGCAGTGAGGAAGGGCTGTGCTTCCCACCGAGAGTGAAGGTCCTGCCACGCACAGCCCTGCAGTCATTCAGACCCCTGGTCACATGCTGCTCTGCACAGAAACAAATTTTATTATTTGTGGTGCTCAAATTGAAAGCAGTAGGACACAGACCCAGGACCCTCTGGTTTTCCTGGCATGGATAAATTGTTTTTCTAGTGCTCATTTATTCATTCCACATTTCAGAACTAACCCCATAGAAAATTAACACAGTAGGGCCTCTCCGTGCCTAAAGGAAGAGGTTCAAAAGTAATGCAGACCCAGAGGATGTGGACAACTGGCAAGAGCTCACTGTGTCTCAGCCCAGGCACAGCATTAAGGCACCTCTGCAGCAGCAGTGTTGAAGAAGCTTGTAAAGCAGTTGGTGTCACTACCTCTCCTTTACACGGCAGCCAAGGAGGCCTTGGTCAGTGCTGCCCATTGAGGCTGGTTTATCAGCCCCATCTGGAGCTGGGCTGTGCACACAGCGTTGATTCATAAGCACTGACATGAGCAGTCATGCTATGTAGCAGCATTTGGGTAATGTGGATCAATAGTCATTAGGTGCAGAGGGCACAGAGCTCTGCAAGAGCAGCAGCCTGTTTGGCAGCAGAGTTTCTTCCAGCAGGAGAGCAGTGAACTCCATGTGACCTTTGGAAAAGTCCCAGCCAAGTTGTGTTTGCAGATCTTTCCTCCACCCACCTCTGTTCTCTCAAAGTTTCTCTCAAGACCTGAAGACCTCAGAAGTCCTCTCCTACCCTTATGTTAAGAGCATCTGTAAACCTTTGTGAAACTTCTTGCTCGTAGCTGGTGGTATTTGAGAAGAAAGAAGTCCCATTTGGTGGCCATTTTAGTGGAAGCCCAGGAGCCTC